TCAATAATATCAGGTGGGGGAGGGGGAGGGGGGAAGGGGGGGAGGGGGGACTAAGAGGGGTGTGGGGGGAGGGGGTGTAGGGGTGAGGGGGTGTGGGGGGTGAGGGGGGAGGAAAGGGGACTAAGAGGGAGGGAGGAGGGGGAGTGGATGTAAGGTTGAGAGGAGGGGGGGGTGGAAGGAGGAGAAGGGGGGTAGGATGGAGAAGATGAGAGAGGAGGGGGAGGAGGGGGGAGGAGGGAAGAGGGAGATAGAGAGGAGAGGAGAGGAGAAGAGAGAATAGGTGAAGAAAAGAGAGAACAAGAGAGAGAAAGAAACAAAAAGAGAAAGAGAGAAAGAGATATAAAGAAATATAAAAAAAATATATTCATCAAAACAAAAAAACAAAACATAAAGATAAAAACAGAACGAGAGAGAAACAATAAAAGGAATAAAGGAAAAAGAAACAGACAGACTGACTGACAGAGAGAACAACCCAACAGCACTTAATAGGGTGATCATATGGTTGATGATGCAGATAATGAGCACAAGTGTATACTTATATCCATAATTATATATTCGTACACTTGGTTACGGAGGTGGGGTGGAGGAAGGAGAGGGAGAGAGAGAGAGAGAGGGGGAGAAAGAGAGAGAGAAGGAGAAAGAGAGAGAAAGGGAGAAAGAAAGAAAGAGAAAGAGAGGGAGGAGAAAGAGAGAGAAAGGGAGAAAGAAAGAAAGAGAAAGAGAGAGAGGGGGGGGAAGAGGGAGGGAGGGAGGGGGGAAGAAGAAGGAAAAGGGAAAGAGAGAGTGAAATAGAGAGGGAGAGAAAGAGAGAGAGAGAGGGAGAAAGAGAAAGAAAAAAGAGAAAGGGAGAAAGAGAGAGAAAAAAAATAAAGAAAGAGAGAGAGAGAGAAAGAGAGAAAGAGAAAGAGAGAGGGAAGGAGGGAGGGAGAGAAGGAGAAAGAGAAAGAGAGAGTGAGAGAGGAAGGAGAGAAAGGGAGAAAGAGAAAGAAACAGAGAGAAAGGGAGAAAGAGAGAGATAGAGACAGAAAGGGAGAAGGAGAGAGAGGGAAAAATAGAAAGAAAGAGAGAGAGAGGTAGAAAGAGCGAGAGAGAGAGAGAGAGAGAGAGAGAGAGAGAGAGAGAGAGAGAGAGAGAGAGAGAGAGAGGATAGGTATTATTATGTAATCATGAATATATGCAGATTATCATCCTCAGTGCACCTATTATCCTATTGCAACGGATATTAGCTTGTAAGTGCCCATAGCTGATCAATACCCTGGTTCCCTCTCCTGGACATAAAGAAATAGTGGCTATTTTAGGCTTCATTACTATCATTATATCTTTTTTTCTCATTTTAGATACATCAGTAATAATTATCAATCCGGTCTACAATGGTTGCCACAATATTTGATTTTCTTTTTAGATATAAAAGATTTGCTAGTAATAGTAATGTAGTTATCATATTTTTTCTGTTTCATTCATTTTCTGTGTCTCTTTTCTCGTTTCTCTCTCTCTCTCTGTTTCTTCTCCCTATATGTATATATATATATATATATATATATATATATATATATATATATATATATATATATATATATATATATATATATATATATATGCGCTGCGCGCGCGCGTGTGTGTGTGTGTGTATGTATGTGTATATATGTATATATATATATATATATATATATATATATATATATATATATATATATATATATATATATATATATATACAAAGAGAGAGAGAGAGAGAGAGAGTTACTATTTTTTCATAATTATCATTATTATCATTATCATCATTATCAATATCATTATTATTATCATTATTATCATTACTAACCTTACCATTATTATTATTGGTGTTCTTATTATCATTATTACTATTGGTGTTCTTATTATCAATATTATTATCATCATTATCATCACTATTACCACTGTCATCATTAACACGAACACCACCGAACCTCACAGCCATCTTTCCGCCCACAGCTACATCCACGAAAACGCTTTCCTTGGCCTGACGAAGCTGAACCAGATCAACCTCGAAGGGAATCGCCTCAACTACTTAGGATCTCCGGAAGTAGGCAGGATCGTCCTTTATAACGAGGTCGGCTTCCTGAGTCTCAAAGATAGTGGCATCGAGGTTCTTGAGTCTGGCTTCGTCCAAGGTGGGAGATGGAGTTTTGTGCTTCGTGGCGTCGGTGGTGCGGGTGGGGCCGTTTTGCTGTGGTGGTGGTTTGGTTGTATATTGCGGCTCGGGTTTTTGAGTTGTGTGTTGTATTGTATTGTATTGTATTGTATTTCATTGTATTTTGAGTTTTGAGTTTGTTTATTGTATTGCATTATATATATATATACATACATATATATATATATATATATATATATATATATATATATATATATATATATATATGTATATATATATGTGTGCGTGTGTGTGTGTGTGTGTGTGTAGTGTATATATACATACATATATATATATATATATATATATATATATATATATATATATATA